ACAGTGCAAAAATTAACCATTTTAATACAAAATTATTATAAAGTTTTATAAAATTTTCTTTGTTTACAAAAGTTATATGATGCATAGATTGCTAATTTGTCCTCCAGATGCATCGTCACCGGCGCTGTGACGTCATGTGCAATGGGTCTATTGTTTATTTAACTCTACATAAGAATACAGCACTACTACCACTAGGAAAAAACAAAAATGCAGAATAGGTAGTATCTTACACCAGACAAACATTACATTAAATATTTTTACAAACTATATTCTGCAACCAACAATTGAGGCAAATTGTGAACGACCTACAGTATCCTCTGACGATGCAAAGCTGACGCTGCGAAGCCTGAAACAATCGCCTACCTTTCTTCGGCATCTTTGCGTTGTCTTTCAGCAAGACCAAGGACAAGAGCAGCCGAACCAAACTTCTCCTCGAGCCTCGCTTTCAATTGCTCGCGCTTCAGTCTCGCGAGCAGTGCCTGTCGTTCACGTTCGCTTAAAAACTGATTGTTAGCTCCAAGTAACTTCGCCATTAATGCATCCTTTTCGTCTTCAAATCTAACATAGAAATTGTGTAAATGTGATTAAACGAATAAACAAACTGACAACCTCTAGTAACACTAGATCAGTAAGGGATGGCTTCTACTAGACCTCTATAAGGAGAACAGTTTAGAACTGATAGAGATATCCAGTAAATGAAGTTAGTTCAGTTTAGGTTTCCTCCAATAAGAGATGACTCTTACTGGACCTCTACGGAGAACAATTTAGAACTACCTGATGGAGCTATCTATAAATGAAGTTAGTTCAGTCTAGATTTCCCCCAATAAGAAATGACTCTTATACTGGACCTCTACAATTTAGAACTAATGGAGCTATCCAGCACAAGTTTAGTTTAGTTTAGGTTTTCTTCTGTGGTAACACTGGAACAATGAAGGGCTTGCCCAGTGGTTCTCACTGGACCTCTAAGGAGAACAGTTTAAAACTGATAGAACTATCCAGTTTAAAGTTAGTTTAGTTTAGGTTTCCCCCAGTGGGTGGAAAATAAAGGATGATCCTTTATATATAGGAAGAACAACTCGAAACTGACAGTGCTATCCAGTACAAGGAGAGTTAGTTTACTGTAGCATTAATACCTTCTATCAAGGCTCTCAAGCAAACTCTTTCCATCCAGTGACTCTATATCGTCCAGGTCTTCATCGTCATCATCAGGTGGCAATCCTTTCGCGAGTCGTTCACGACGACGTGCGAGTCTCTCACGAAGCTGTTGCTCGTATTTTTCCCTATTCTCTCCAAGCAATTTTCTCAAATTCACATCAGCTGCAAAGCCGTCTCCCAACAGCCTGGCGAGTTCATCGAGTTTGTTTTCTCGCTGCAAACGTTTCGCTTCCAGCTTCATTTTCATCAAACGTAGTTGACGTTCCCTCTCGGAGAGTCTTTGCCACTCGTCCTCACCTGAATTGCATGGCAGAAGAAATCAAGAAAATGCTGTGATTATTGATTTGGCTATTGTCACTGGATTTCATCCGCGGTTTCGTTCTCTTAGGTCGAGCAAGCAAGCAAGCGAAGATAAAAGTCATATCTTCAAGTCACCGTGTAATGTTCTGGGGCCGGTTGTATAAAAACGTAGTTAGCGCTAACTGCAGTTAAAAAGTAGTTAAAAAGCCTTAAAAAATAGTTAACTTTAATCACGTAGTTAAGCCGGTTGTATAAAAGTGTAGTTAGCCTTAACTGCAGTTAAAAAGTAGTTAAAGTTAACTATGCTTTAGGGTATAGTTAACTGTCCAAAACGTAGTTAAAAATGGCGTTTGTATAGGAGTGAACAACATTTTTCAGTAAAACAACAATGAAAAGCAACAG